AATGCAGCTCTTATGAAGAATTATATTTCAGTTAAAGACGAAAAATTTCATGGGATCAAAATAGGCATTTGTTATGGTTGCCTTGCGTGTTTACCGAAAAAGTGTAGCTGTTTAAATTTAATCTAATTGCTGCGTGCAAGTTCACAGAATCTACTTTGATTCTTTTCGCATTCAGCTTCCATCGTCCCCAATAATTGTTTATTGAGAAGTTTAATGCTTCACAAACCTTCAAATTTAAATACGGGCTGGGCTAAATGAACGACCGGACAAAGACACACTTTGGAAAGAATCCCAATTTGTCTGTCTGCCCGCTTGTCGACAGTGAATCTACGGGTGCTCAGAGGGCTCACGCTGGACAGACAATTGCTTCGGAGTCGGCAATCAGCCCAGCAGATGAGCAGAGTCAGTCGGATTAACGCTGACTTGGCCTCATCCGTCCCAGGAAACTCGACTATCATGCCGTGTCCGGCGCCTGCATGATCTTTTCCGGCCATCATCTCACCCTGGCCGGCTCTTGCAGCTAATTGCACAGGTTAGAGAACCAGTAAATGGTTTACCGTAAAAAGAATTATTATTTTTGAGGACTTTGAGAGAAGAGCAACAAAATGGTAAATGTATACCATCTCTTCTCAGCCTCAAAATAGCTCTCTAGCGAGATTAGGCTCTCCGGGTTCATCTCTCCGTCTGGTCCTTTCTAGCATTCATTTTCTTCACAAATATTTGCGAATAAAAGTTGGGTTTCGAGGAATTTTTTGGTTTTCAATTGTTAAACCATTTTCATTTTAAATGAATTTGTGTATGTATGTGTGTGTATGGAGGAAATATAAAAAAAGACGACAGCAGGTTTCTCTTGGCTAGGTGCCGGAAGGCTTTACTCGTCACATTTGGACTTAACAAGTATTTTTCGTATTTGAGCAGAGTTTAAAGAGACTACCAGTAAATCAGTAATATGGGATGTATTCACCATATTTCGATTAATGTGATAAAGGACCTACAATGATAAGAGTAGGGCTGACGTTTCCATTAAATTTCATATATCCTTGCCTTCCAAAAAGGTATTATCATCCAGAGTGGGCTGCCTATGTCTAATCAACACCCCCAGCGGGACTCGAACCATGAAAATACAGGATGTAATCTCGACACGTTAGCTACCACCCCATATGACCACGAGTGCCCTTGGGTCATGGGGTATAAGTGAATTTCAAGGAATCTCAGGCATTTTCCACATCACATTCTGTGGTGGGATTGTCGATGAAGCAAGTTTATATTTGCTATGGCAATTGACAACGTTACTTATATTTCGTTTTGCGTAGTCTTTCGAGACTACTAATAAATCAGATCTATGAGTCTAGAAAACCCACTCAAAACGAAATATAAATAATTTCGTCGATTGCTTTAGCAAATATTAGTTAACTTCATCGACAATCCCAACGCACAATGTGATATGGCAAAAGGCCTGGCCCTACTTAAAATAAAAATCTGTCCTGTAACCCAAGGGCACTCGTGTCGAGATAACATGCTGTCTTGCCATGGTTCGACTCCTGCTGGGGCTGTTGAAAAGACCTATGCAAGGTCGGTACTGGATGAGAATACCTCCTTGGAAAGTAAGGATATGCAAAATTCAAGAGAAACGTCATCTTTATTGACATGATGGTGGGAAAAATGAACTACCAGTCCTTAATCACTTTTAATGAAATAGGATGAAAGTAACTCATATATCTGATTTACTGGTAGTCTCGAAAACCTACTCAAAAGGGAATATTAGCATAACTAACCGACCAACTTTCCTTCGAGGTGGAAAGTCCAGTCACATGTTTGGAGACGAAGTCACAAAACAATCTTTGGCGTACAGAATGTAAAACTTTCAGTAAGATATGTTAATGCCAAAACGCCTTGTAAAATGACTAGGAAATCTGTTTTTCATTTAGGCCGAGTGTCCATAAAAGTTCATGCCCAAATCCCAAAAACAAAAATCTCAAACCAATACGAAAACATGTGCAC